GTGGTAGGTGTCTGTTTTTCCTTAAGCCTGGGGTTCTCAATCGGGAATCCACAGTCAATGGCTGAACTTCTGGTCTTCATAACCCCCCTTGAATTTTAGGTAAGTTTTCTGCGTGAGTGCACGTGGAGAGAGGCTCTATGGCAATCATATTCTCAAAAAGGTCTGTGACACCAAAATAGAGTAAGAATCACTATCCTGGTTGGTTAAACAAGGGCCCCTTTTCTACTGTATTTATTAACTTCACATGGAAGATTCGAGACAAGGCAAGACTACTCATTGGAAAGAGAGAGGAAGTCTGGCTGCCCAGACAAATCCCCACCGGGTGGCACAACCCTGAGGAGTCGGCGATAGTCCAGCCACAGGTCCAAGGTCTAACTTGAGACGACGCAGAGGACTGGTATCTTCCTGGAAGCAGGCTATATAGTGCAGGAGGCTGCTTGGGAAACAAGAGATCAGAACATCGGAATAAAGTTCAGGATTTGTACAGTCCACAGCCCTAGGCTCTCACAATTGTGATGGGGATGTACCTGCCTCAGGTGGAACCTGGGCACCCGAATCCCATCTTACCTGCTCTGTGTGTAACTGGGGTTTGCCAACAGTGCCTTAGACTCTCCTTTTTCCAGCCTCTAGGATTAACCAGTCTGAGAACTTCCCTTTCCTGCCCTCCCTCCCTCTTAAGACATTCAATCTTGATATCTTAAGGTCTTTTTCTTTAAAATCACCAAGAATGCATATCTATGCATTGAGTTGTGTCTATGTTAATTTCATGCATTAATGCTCACAGGACCACCCTGTTTCCTGCTCTCTGATTAAAGACTCCTTAGAGATTCCAAAAACCATTTTTAGTTCTTGCTGAGGAGAGGATGTGATTTAACAACGCAAGCATAAAGTTTCATCAAAAGCCGCCTGCTTGTCCACCTTGGCAAGACAGATGTGCAGAAAAGCTGTGCAGGGGTGCGTGGCTCAGCCTGGAGGACCCAGGCACACACTTCTGCACAGCACAGTGGGGAGCGAGGAGAATGGCTAACAGCAAGCATTCTGGGCCGCGACTAGAGTAGGTTATTTAGCACCTGCTATGCGTCCCAGGCACTGTGCTTGGTGCTGGAGATGCAAAGAGAAATAAGACAGGGTCTGTGCCCTGCAGGGACCTTTGTGTGAATGGGAGAAACAGCGGATGAACAAAGCGGATGAACAACCAGAGCGTATTGTCCTGTTAGGATAGAGGTAAGAGTAAGGTGATCGTGTGTCGGGGGAAGAGGACAAGGATGAGAAGAGAATAGGTGTTTTCTAGGAGGACAAGGTGGGGAATGAGTTTAAGAACTACGTTTTCCTTGGGGTGCCTGGGTGGCTCAGTTGGTTAAGCGGCTGCCTTCGGCTCAGGTCATGACCCCAGGGTCCTGGGATCAAGCCCCGCATCGGGCTCCTGCTCAGCGGAGAGCCTGTTTCTCCCTTTCCCTCTGCCTGCCACTCTGCCTACTTGTGCTCCCTATCTCTCTGTCAAATAAATAAATAAAAAATATCTTAAAAAAAAAAAAAAAAGAACTACGTTTTCCTTAAGTCAATCAGAGAAAGACATGTATCATATGACCTCAATGATATGAGGAATTCTTAACCTCAGGAAACAAACTGAGGGTTGCTGGAGTGGTGGGGGTGGGAGGGATGGGGTGGCTGGGTGAGGGACATTGGGGAGGGTATGTGCTATGGTGAGCGCTGTGAATTGTGCAAGACTGTTGAATCACAGATCTGTACCTCTGAAACAAATAATATATGTTAAAAAAAAAAGATTGTAGGAAGGGAAAAATGAAGGGGGGGAATCGGAGGGGGAGATGAACCATGAGAGACGATGGACTCTGAGAAACAAACTGAGGGTTCTAGAGGGGAGGGGGGTAGGAGGATGGGTTAGCCTGGTGATGGGTATTAAAGAGGGCACGTTCTGCATGGAGCACTGGGTGTTATGCACAAACAATGAATCATGGAACACTGCATCAAAAACTAATGATGTAATGTATGGTGATTAACATAATAAAAAAAAGACTGATGAAGAAAAAAAAAAGAACTACGTTTTCTTATGCTTGGAGGCTGGTGTTTGTGAGCAAAAGGAGAGAGATGAGTCCAAAAAAGAAGGTACATGTCGTCGAGAAGTCAGTCACAATTCATTTGTAGGTGGTGTGGACGCACACGCGTTAGCTTCCTGGGGCTGTTGTACAAATTACGACAAACTTGGTGGCTTGAAACACCAGAAATGCAGTCTCACAGTTCTGGAGGCCACAAAGCCCGAAATCGAGGTGTTGGCAGGGCTGCGCTCCTGTGGGAGCTCCATGGGAGAATTCTTTCTCAGCTTCTTCTGCTGAAAGAAGCAGAAGAAGCCTGGGTACACCAGGATAATCTCTCCGTCTGAGGATTCTTAATCGCATCCGCAAACGCCCTTTTCTTCCTCTGCCATATAGGATAACATTCTTGGATTCCAGAGATTAGACACGGATGTTTTGTGGGGTCATTTTTCAGTTTTCCACGTAGCGGGAGACTTTAAGCAAGGCAACAACTCAGTAGACTGTAGTTCACAAAGATCCTTCAGGGGGTGGTGGGGTGTATCTAAAGGAACATTTACTGAAGCCGGCGAGACAGCTCAGTGGACACAGCTCGGTGGACACAGCTCGGTGGACAGGTGGCTCGAAGCGACCGTGTCTAGCCAGGGTGGCAGCCTGGGGGGTGGGCTCAGGGAGGGACTCAGGAGTCTGACTGCGTGATGCCAAGCCTCAGTTTCCTCATCTGTGAAAGCTGGATTATCACACCTGTGCCTACTCTTTGGGCCTGCCAGAAGGAGTGAGCAAAATGTGACACATGCCCGGTGACTGGTACATGAGCAGCCCTCCGCAAAGCACACAGATTCTGACTCGCATTCTGGAATCAGGCTCCTGAGCACAGATGACTCGAAAACGGTGAGATGGGGCACATTTCATCCACTGGCCTCTGACCCGGCTTGGTGAACCAGTCAACTAAAAGACAGGCATGGGGTGTGGCCCTGACAGAACTCCAGGTTCTTCGTGGGATGTTTTAGCTGCATTCCAAGGCAGAAATCACCTACCAGTACTGTTCTCCTGGACTTCCAGAGCCTGCCAGTGACGTTAGACTCTAAACTTCATACATATTTAGCGGGAATAATACATTTTTCATTTTATTTTAATTTTTTAAAAATAATTTTTAAAAGATTTTATTTATTTATTTGACAGAAAGAGAGAGAGAGTGAGCCCCTGAGCAGGGGGATCAGCAGGCAGAGGGAGAGGGAGAAGCAGCCTCCCCACTGAGCAGGGAGCCTGACTCCTCATGGGGCTGGATCCCAGGACCCTGGGATCGTGACCTGAGCCAAAGGCAGATGCTTAATGAGCCACCCAGGTGCCCCTGCATTTTTTATTTAAAAAGCGTAGTGTTTCCAGTCAATCAGTACAGATTAGTTAAGCAATTATGTGCAGATGGCGGTGCTTGAGTGATTGTGTCAGGAGACCAGCCTGGAAAGTCCGTTTGGCCCCATTTAAAGAGGCCTCCAGCGAAGGGTGAGGCCTTCAGACTCGAGGGTGAGGGCAGTGAGAAGCCGGTGGGGGCCCGATGAACAGGGTGCATGAAGGTGATCCCAGCTGTGGCAGCGGACCGTTGGGTTTGAGGGGGAAGCGTGGTGGAGGCAGGGAGGCCATCTTGGAAGCTAGTGCAGCTTTCCGTCTGTGAGGTGGCTGGATGGAAGCAGGGGGAATGGAGGGCAGAGGACTTGCAGGGAATCTGCCTTCAGAGAGCTAGTGTGGGACAGGGTAGGCTCACAGGGCAGGTGACAGAGTTGTAACAACACAACTTGGGAGAGATCGGCAGGCAGTGACCCTGGTGGTGGGGGTGTCAGCCACCTTGCCGGCCTTGGGAAGAGTGAGTCACGGAATGTTTGTGGGGACTGGAAGTTCTGGGGGGTCCCTGCAGAAGATCGGGCTCCACCCCTACGGTCCTGGGGGAATAATCAGCCTTGTGCGTTAGCTGTTACAAGTGGCTGCCTGGCCAGGACGGGGCTGTAGGCAGCCCCACGGGAGCGGCCGCAAGTGCCGGAGGGGTTGGGGGTGAGTGAGGGTTCAGCCCCTGAAGGGTGGCTCCGAGGAGGGGCGGGGGTGGGAAGGGTCCTTCGATGTCCCTGGCATGGGGATGGCCGTGGCAGGTGGAGGGAGGCCGAAGTACTTTCATACTTTCCGAGTGATGAGGCCCTAGTTGAAACAAAGGGTCTGGACATCAGAGGGGAGCGCCCAGGAGACAGAAGGAAGCGGCACCCATCTGCTCTGGTGCCCAAGGCAGTGCCTGGTCTTCTCACTCCTACTTCTTGATCACTGTGACAACTGTCTCCTCTCTCAATTCCTTACTTAGCACAGGCCTCTGCAGACAAAGCTGTTTGTTCAAAACCCTCCAGGCCAGCTGCAGCTCTGGGATGGAACTTCTGCATCCTCCCCGCCCCTCCCTCCCTTTCCTTCCTTTCCTGTCTCCTTCCTCTTTTCCTTTTCCTCACCCTCATTTTCTTTCAAAAAATAATTTATTGAGGTGAAAATTACATAACACAAAATTAACCATTTCAAAGTGAACAATACATTCACAATATTGTGCAACCACCTCCTCTATCTTGTTCCAAACTATTTTCATCTCCTTGACCAGTTCCTCCCCAGTCCTCCCTCCCCCTAGCAACCATCAATCTGCTTTCTGTTTCCATGGATTTATTTGTTCTAGATATTTCATATAAATAGAATCACATGATATGTAACCTTTTGTGTGTCTATTTATTTTGAGAGCAGGTTCATTCACAAGGTTCATAACTGAAAAGTCAGTAGATACATAGTGAAAAGTTCTCTGCTGCAGGGTCACCTAGTTTCCCTCGCTGAGGTAAAGTGTAACCTCAGCAGTTTTTGTTTATTTTTGTTTTTCCATCCTCCCAGATATGTTTTATGCAGATATAGGTAAATATAGATATGTCCACACACATGTTCTTTTTTTTTTTTTAAAGATTTTATTTATTTATTTGAGAGAGAGAATGAGAGAGAGCACAGGAGAGAGGGGAGGGTCAGAGGGAGAAGCAGACTCCCCGCCGAGCAGGGAGCCCGATGCGGGACTCGATCCCGGGACTCCAGGATCATGACCTGAGCCGAAGGCAGTCGCTTAACCAACTGAGCCACCCAGGCGCCCATGTCCACACACATGTTCTATCATGTATCTGTCATCTACCTGTTTGGATCTGATTTTTTTTCTCCTAACATATCTTGGAGATAGTTTCATATCAATATGTAAAGAGCTTCCTTCTTCTCTTTCTAATGATTGTTTTATATTCTTATGAATGGATGTATCATAATTTATGTAACCATTCCTCCCACCAATGGACTTTTAGGTTGTTTCCAATCTTTTGGTATTATAAACAATGTCACAATGAGTCACTTTGTACATTGGCCAATGTATCTGTAGATAAATTAGGAGTCCGAAATTCTGGGTTCAAACTTAGACACATTTAGGCAAGATAAGAGTGGACTCCTGTTACATTATATAATAAATAACATTCATGGATTGGGAAATATGCATTAGACACTGTGCTAAGCATTTTTAAGCAGCTTTATTGCAATATAATTTATATATCATAGGATTCACTCATTTAAAGCATACAATTCAATATTTTTTAGTATTTTCACAGAGTTGTGCAATCACCACCACAATCGATTTTAGAACATTTCATCACCTGGAAGAAACCCCGTACCCATTAACCGTCACTTCCCACGCTCCTCTGCCTCCAACCCGTGGAAACCATTCATCTATTTTTTGTCTCTGGATTTGCCCATTATGGGCATCTCATACAGATGAAATCATATGCTATGTGGCCTTTTACGTATGGCTTCTTTCACTTAGCATAATGTTTTCAAGGTTCATCCATGTTGTCATTATTCCATTCCTTTTTATTGCAGAAAATCCCTGTGTTTTTACATCTTCAATCAATCTAGCGTTTCCACTTAGGCAACCCAAGTCCTTTGACCAGGGCAGTTACAGGCAGGTGTACCCCAAAATTTGCAGGGCCTGGGAAACAAAAAATGGGAGCCCCTAAGTCAGATGCCTAAATATTTAAAGGCTGTAAATCAAGCCAAACAATTGTTGAATAAATTATGTTTGATCCTCCTACATTGACAAATAGGTGTAAAGTTATGGCTTCTATATGACTAAAAATTGGCAAAATATCAAAGATGACTAAATTCAATTATTACAAAATTAGAATATATTATGGTAATAATAGATTCATTTTCAAAATGAATTGAATAAATTCAATTTCAAAATATTTTTTATGCTTTCAAGAGCTATTTTTCTAAAATATTCAAAATTATCTACAAAAGTTAAAGGAAAGAAATATAATTGATAATTAACCTGTGAAAAATTAAATTTCAAGTATTTACAGTTAAAATTTTTACTTGACTTTTTGAGAATGTAATGAAATCTTATTAAATATGATTATGAAGAAGCTATTTGTGATTCTGGTGTTCCATGTCTTTGACTTAGTAGCATGTTTCATGTATGTTATGCCTAGACCTACATCTGTACAGGAGAGAGTAATATGAATTGTTTCGTAATGAAAAATATTCCTTAGCCTCCACGTGAACTGTTGCATTTACTGCACTAATTTTTGGGAGTCCCTCTGGAATTTTATGTTAGAGAAACAGGAAGATGGAGACTTGGCACTGGCGGGAAATGGCATGTTGTTACCTAAGGATCTACTGCAGTCAAGGTGTCTCAGTGGAGGGATGTGACAGGTGGATTTGTCTTTTACTTTTATTTTATTTTTTAAAAGATTTTATTTATTGGGCGCCTGGGTGGCTCAGTTGGTTAAGCGACTGCCTTCGGCTCAGGTCATGATCCTGGAGTCCCAGGATCGAGTCCCGCATCGGGCTCCCTGCTTGGCAGGGAGCCTGCTTCTCCCTCTGACCCTACCCCTCTCCTGTGCTCTCTCTCTCTCATTCTCTCTGTCTCAAATAAATAAATAAAAATCTTAAAAAAAAAAAAAAGAAAAAAAGATTTTATTTATTTATTTGACAGAGAGAGAGACAGGAGAGGGGGAACACAAGCAGGGGGAGTGGGAGAGGGAGAAGAAGGCTTCCAACATGGAGCAAGGAGCCGGGACCTGAGCCAAAGGCAGACGATTAACGACTGAGCCACCCAGGCACCGTGGATTTGTCTTTTACCGAATCACCTCTACGGTTCCTATCCCACTGGCCCTCTGAAGCAGCGTGTCCGCACTGGTGGTGGTACAACCCACAAGCCCCGCACGTTCACATGCCTTTTGTTTCAAGGGCAGAAGGCAGGACACACGGAGAAGCAGTGCCCTGGGGTCTAAACGGTGTTACTTGGGAGAGGGGGCATCCTGGTGCTAGTGCCACATCTCAAGTAAGAGAAGAGCCACGTGTTCTTTCACACGTGTGTGTGTGTGTGTGTGTGTGTGTGTGTGATTTGCAGGCTCCCCTACAAGCATGGGCCGAGAGGAGAGGCCATCCTGCCCAGTTCTGAAAGAAATGTGGCTCTTACGCTTGAGCTGAGATTACAGATAAGGCCTTTCTGAACAAAACCTCTTTTACTGTGATGAGGGGTGGTGCCTGGCTGGCTCAGTTCGTGGAGCGTGAGACTTTTGATTTCTGGGTTGTGAGTTCGAGTCCCACGCTGGGTATAGAGATTACTTAAAAATAAAATCTTAAAACAAACAAACAGCCTCTTTTACTCTGATGAATGCAGGGAGTGGAGGTGGAGGAGGAGGGCAGACCAACTGTCTTCCCCGGTGGACAAAAACAAACCTATCTGTATCTGCTGACTTGCACAGCATGGCCATTTTAAGTGTTGCCCATCTGCCCACCTGTCTGTTACAATTCACACAATCGCAAAAGCAGACACAAAGTCTCTCATTCACTCATTCATTCATTCACTTAATGGTATTAACTGAGCACATCTTCTAGGTGCCTTTCTGGGTTGGCAGAGTAAAAAAATGACTGGAACTGTGAGGACTCACAAGGTATAGGGGACAGACTTGAACATGAATAATGGCAATAGTGCGGGGTTTAAAATGCTATGGGAGGACAGAGGAAGGAGCAACTGCCACATCAGTGTGGACTGGGCTAGAGGAGGCTTCAGAGGAGATGGTGGAGTAATATTAGCTTCCACAGATGCCACAGAATGCCTGTCATGTTCCAGGCTCTCCTCGCATACTGTCACATGTACTTCCCACAAAATCTCTCAGAGGTACCCGTTTATGTCCATTTTACAGATGAGAAAATTGAGGACCAGAAAGCTTAGGTAACTTGTTCAGTGCCACATAGCTGGTAACTGATGGTTCTATAGTTGCACCTCCCAGATCTTCCTAATTTCACAATGGATGAACTTTCCACCGTGTCTTGGTATTTGAGGAGTCTTGAAGGATGTGTAGGAATTTACCTGAGTGGAACAAGGGCGTAAGAGCAGCAGGGGAAAAACAACAGCATTTGTTATTGGAGATCTGAGATGTAAACGAAAATTGTGGCAGAGCATGTTTGAGTATCTATAAAGATGAGGTCACATGATTACAGCCATCTGACTGACTTGAATAGGGTCCTGTGCAAATCCCTTTTGCCTGGTTGATTTATAATTCCCAAGAGGCCCAAGTTCTAGGTAACATCTAAATTCTCTCCGCCCAGACACACATTCCTACTCTTTCACAAGTGTTCTTGGAGAGGGGGTTGGTGAGGGAGACAGCGGGGAGATTCTCCAGTGTGTGCTCCCCACAACCTCACTGTGGATTTGCTTTTCTGAGCCGATCTAATCTTGAAGTTAGCTTTCCAGACGCTCCCCAGGCAGCAGTCCGACATGCGAGCCTATCTGTCTCCGGCCCTGTCCTGGGGGTTGCACGGGCGACACGGATTCTCCAACCGGAAATCATTAGCGCTGGAATCCGCTTCGAGGGCGGCCCAACAAGCGACTATGCCTTTCTCCACTTCCTCATCCAAGTTCTACCCTTTCCTCGAGTTTCTGCCCAAATCATACCTCTAGAAGCATTTTCAGTTGGGATCACAGGAGCTTGGTCTAGCCTTTTAAAAAAAATCGTTTCACTTGAGACCACCTGGAATAAGTTCCATCTAGAACAAGCGCCGTGGCCACATTAACAAGAAAAACACTCGTGAGCCCGGTAGGCACGCAGCGTTTGTTGACTGACCTCAGGAGGGCCGGGAGGGGGGCGGGTCCGGCTTCCACCCGGACGCGGGAAGGAGGCCAGGCCGCCGAGCGAGGCTGGGCGGAACGTAACCCCCGCGCCCCCAGGGCGTCCCGCCTCCCGCCCCCGCGGCCGGCCCGTGAAAGCGGCGGGGCGCCTGCGCGGGCGGCCGCCAGGTGGGCAGGTACCTGGGCGGGGCGCGCCGTGGTTGGCGGCCGGCGCCGGCGGGCCCGGCACCCGGAAGAGCCGCCGACTCCGCGAGCGCAACAGGGGGCTGAGCGGGGCTGCGTCGTGTGGACCCGGCCCGGGATGGACAAGCTGAAGAAGGTGCTGAGCGGCCAGGACACCGAGGACCGGGGCGGCCTGGCCGAGGTGAGCGCGCCCGGGAACCGGGCGGGACTTCCAGGCTTTCCTGGAAAGCCGCGCCGCGCCCGTGCGTCCTCCCGGCGGCGGGCCCCGCGCTCCCCGCGCCCGTGCGTCCTCCCGGCGGCGGGCCCCGCGCTCCCCGCGCCCGTGCGTCCTCCCGGCGGCGGGCCCCGCGCTCCCCGCGCCCCTGCAGGTGCCGCGCCGGGCCCTCCGCTCCAGGCGGTCGGCCTGTGCGTGCTCTGTTGCCCGGCGCCCCCTCAGCCCTCCCCGCCCCAGCGGCCCACTCGAGAGGGCGGCGCCGGGCGCCGTCCCGGCCGGTCCCTCCAGCCCCGCCGGCCTCCCCGAGCTCCGGGGCCGAGACGGGCAGGGCGGGCGGGCCCCGAGGGCCTGGCGGAGGGAACCCGCGTCCGGGTGGGTCGCCTGGGCCTGGCGACGGGCCCGCAGCTTCCCCTGCTCGCTGCCCGGGTACGGCGGGGCTCAGTTGTCGGTGTGACACTCCCACCCGACCTTGGGCACCTGTCGTTGTTGTGACGCGTCTCCACCGCGGACCCGTGAACTCCCGGAGGGCAGGGCTCACTCTTGTTTCTCTGCGCCCCCAGTCCGTCCGGAGACGCGGCAGACGCCCAGCACCTCGTGGGACTGCCGGCGCGTGTTTGTGTGACTGTTTCGCTAGCGAGGCTGGGTCGAGCGGGAATCTGGGCGCTCGGGCCGTGTCTTCTAGAGCCACACAGAATGGTCATTTCCTGTTTCGAGTGCTTTTTTTCGCTCTTGTTTTTGTTTTCCTTTCTGGATGACAGAATAACATTTTACTTTTTGGTGTGTATTCCACGGGCCTCAGTTTCCCCAGCTGTAAAGTGAGGGTGTTGAACAAGAGACTACGGCTTCTTTCAACTCGAAACCCACGTTTTCCTTCTAACTTTAATCAGTGTCTCTCGTGGTTTGTTCTCAGCATCTTCTTTCACCCACTTTGGTGGTTGCTGATTTTTTTCTGCATTTTGTGTGATACTGGGACCCCCTCTGTGAGATCTCAGAACTTGTAAAGCTTACTCTCTTAATCCTCACTTTGAAGAAGCAACACTATAGGAATTGGAATTGAGTATCATAGGAATTGGGGTCTTATTTTTTTGACATTTCAAAACAGCTCTGTGGGTTCCTTTTAATTGGTTGCCTTTATTAGTTGGTCAAAGCTCAGGAGTAATTTCATGCATTTTTTTTGTTTTTCATTTCTGGCTTCTGTTATGAACTGCCAAGTCAAACCCCAGACCAGGCCTGAGAATACCCGGGTAGTTGACAGTCATGTGGTTCTAAAAGCATTATGCCCTGTGGACTGTCATCACGCTTTTAGGAGCAGCTAGGGTTCAAGAGGGAGACACTTTATCATCCTGAAGGCTCTTGGGGGGGAGTGTTGACAGCGAGATGATGCAGATACTATATATTTAGAAAAAAACCATGAAGCAGACGCGTAAGAGTGAATGATTAGTGCAGATTGAAGATGTAAATGCTGAGTTTGTTTTTACCTACAATGGTGCATGCCTGCGTTGGATGCAGTGAAGGGCTTTAAAGTGTTGTAGGCTCAACCACGTCTTAAATCTGTTTAAAAAAGAGTAGGTGCTGCTCTCTTGTGAAGTAGTGTTGTCCGTTTCCTCTAAGTGTGAGATTCCTGTTTTCATACATCATTGTATGCCATTTCCTGAGTCCCAGACTCCTGGGAAACATCTTGTAGCTGGCTGAGTTCATTTTCAGGATTGTTTTTGGCTTAATTTTTACTAATTCGGGCCTCCTTTAAAATGTTGCTATTGACTTGATTGTTTCACATTTCCCATGGCTTTGAAGCTGGCAAAGAGAGTTGTGTGCTGAAATTTCTGTTTTGTGTGGTAGGTTGGACTTCGTGGCCTTATGGGCTCTTCAGATTAAATTGTCAGAGGTCCCATAAGTGAGTGCTTTTCAAATTTTTATCCTTTTAATGTAAACAATAAAAGCATGGCTAGTTCTGTTTCTCCTACATATGAAACTGGGTATAAAAACGACTTGGCAGTGCCTAATCACCAATACCCTCCTGACGAGGTTTTTAATTGATACCTCACCTTCATAAATCCGCCTTCAACCTTTAGTTTTAGTGGGCGTATTTCTTTCTTTCTTTCTTTCTTTTTTTTTTTTAAGATTTTATTTATTTGAGAGCGAGAGAATGAGAGAGAAAGAACACATCAGAGGGGATAGGGTCAGAGGGCGAAGCAGACTCCCGCCGAGCAGGGAGCCCGATGCGGGACTCGATCCCGGGACTCGAGGATCATGACCTGAGCCGAAGGCAGACGCTTAACCAACTGAGCCACCCAGGCGCCCCTAGTGGGCGTATTTCTTAAAGTATAGGTTTTATTTTTTTCATAGAGGATTCCAGGGATGAGGAGGGAATGAGTGGTACCTGGTTTGAAAGCACAGGTATGAAGCAGTATTCATTTCTCACCGTCTTCTGGTTACCAGCCCTGTTTCCTCAAACAGCTCTTAGCTTTACTTCATTTTGGCGAGCACCTTTCTTCTCTCCACATCCCCAAGTCAAAGGGACCTTTGTTCCTAACTGCCAGACAGCTTGAGTGCAGATCGCCTGTAAATTCTAGCCAGGGACTATTTTAGCTACTCCGATTTCCAGAAGGTGCCCCAGCAGCCATGAATTTAGAGAGGCGTTTTATAAGAACTGAGTTTGTTTTTATAAATTGGCAAAAAGAAGGGCTTAGCCTTCACTGAGTCCAGCCGGTGAAAGAAGTGCGATGACACAGAGTGGGAAGACATGGTGATGAAAGGTTATCTGCGCCCCCTCCCCCCATTTTGCCAACTAGGGTGACATCTGGGTGGAAATTCAGCTTGAGGGACTTGTGGAGCCAACACTTCCTCCTTTCTGAAGGAAGAAACCAGAACTGTGTCCTCTCGTCGACGAGTTTGATTTTTACGAGGACTGGAACGTGGAGACCATATTTAGTTCTCTAAATGCCAAGGCCAGCTCACACTTGACACTTAACCTTATGGGTTATCCTCTTCACAAAAAAAAATAATAAAGGTCGAATCTCTTAAAATATCCCTGTTGGTGCCAAGTGGTGCTCAAGCCATGAATCCAGTCCAGTTCTGCTATGACGCTTTTCTCCCCGCGTGCAGCTCACTTCTTTTTTTCTACCTGGCAAAGTAAGTTCTTTGTTTCTTGCATGAGTAGGAGTGGTGGCTTCTGATTTTATTTTCTTCTTGGTGGGAGGTTGACCTGTTAGTCAGAAGGCTGACCTGATTATGGGGGCTGCCAGTGCAGCCTGCTAACAGCGTCACGTGGCTCATTTGGGAGGTGAGCTGTGCCTGAGCACGGAACCAGGTGGCCCGTCTGTCAGGTCCTGACACCCTGTTCCCACGGCGTGGTTACCATCCCCGATGGCGCCTTTCTGTGCAGTGTCCTGTGGTGCCCCGTGTTCCCGCAAGTGCTGTGTGTGTGGTGGGGGATTGCAGTGTCATGAGCCCACTTTAAATATGTGTGAACAGGGTTGCCTGGGCGGCTCAGTTGGTTAAGTGTCTGACTCTTGATCTCGGCTCAGGTCATGGTCTCAGGGTCGTGAGATCAAGCCCAGCGTCGGGCTCCGTGCTGGGTGTGGAGCCTGCTTGGGATTCTCTCCCTCTCCCTCTCCCTCTCTAGAGAAGATAAAAAGTGTGAATAAATGTGGTAGGAGGAAAACCCCTTTTGATAACCTGCCCTTAAGACTGCCTTTCTCCTGAATGGAAATTAAGCCGTCTGTAGCAATGCTGGCCACACCCGGGAGAGCTGCTCTTCCTTCTTTCCAGGCGTCTGGTTTGACAGGAAGTTTGGAGACAGGGCTGAAGACAGGTCCCTGAGCTGGGAGCAGTCAGGGCCGAAGGAGTTGCCAGTCCGGTGTCCCTTGCAGCTTCTGCCACCGCCTTCGTTCATCAGGGAGTGGAAATGTTACTGGCACCTTTCCCCCACTGCCGGAGGGAGACTGTGCTGGCCACACGAGGTGAGCCTGGTGTGAATACACTGGGTTGCCTGGGCAGGAGGCAGGACCTTTGGTCTCAGTGGCAGCTGTCTGTCCCCAGCCTGGAGCAGCTGTGGCCACTTTCATGATGTGGACAGACTAGGAAGGTCTCTGGCGTAAGTTCCGGGCTGTCCTCTTTGACACGGGGGGAAAACCCTTGGGAGCTACTTGCAGGCTCCCCTGTTCTAGCAGAGTTGTCTTGGGAAAAGTTGGCATCCTCGGAGCTTTACTCTTGGGAGGGGTTAGTTACGGTAGCGGAGAGTCAGACGAGTAGGGCCGTAATGAATTACCTAGGATTTGTATCACGCTTGCGTGACTTGGCTGATGCCAGCACCCCAAAGCTCAGCATGAATTGATTCAGCTCAGGGCCCTGACACAGATGAGAGCCTTAGTCCTTCGGCGTCTCAGAGATGCCGGTAGGAGTAGCTACTGCCCAAGTTGGGCTGGTTGATGTAGGCGACCATGCCCGGTGGATCCAGCCCCAAGTGCCGGCCCCCGACCGGCCCCCGTTTCCTGGGTCCCTGCCTGGCGGAGCTCATGGCTTTCTGGTTGTCCTTGTCCGGCCCGGGCTGTGTAAGGGCTTGGGCTACTCTAGGGTCTACTGCCTTGCCATGCTGTGTGTGAAATGGTTTGTGCTTCAGGTGGAGAGTTTCCAGCTCTGGGGATGTTCACCTAGAGGCTCGGTAACCTCTTATCTGCTGCCAGAGAGGAGATTTGTGGCTGGATAAGGAGCCGGCTTCCAGGACTCAGGAGGGCTCTTGTAGCCATGAGTGAGTCGGATTCTTTGTTCCTGCCTTCCGCAGGTCAAACTCACACGCTCAATCTAACCAACTGAGCCACCCAGGCGCCCCCCCTCACACGCTCAATCTAATTATGTGCTTCCCTTGTTTCTGGTGCTTAAACATGCATATACGTGTATGTAATCCATTTTTTAAAAATTTCAGGTTGTTGAGGCATCTTCATTAAGCTGGGGTACCAGAATAAAAGGCTTCATTGCATGTTTTGCTGCAGGAATTGTCTGCTCACTGCTGGTAAGATGTCCCTCCCCTCCCCTGGTCTTTTCCCCACCCTGTCCCTCCTTCCCTCTGTCTTTCCCCTTTTGTCCACCTCCTTTTCTCTTTCTCTTCATGAGATGCCTGGATGAGAGAGAGAGGGAGGTGCTGAGGAGGGTGGGGAGGGGACTGGGTGTCTCTGTGCACTCTTGGCTGTAGACTCTCGTAGGAGGGGTCCTCTGTGCAAATGCCCTGTGCTTTATCTTCCAGGGAACTCTTCTGCTCTGGGTGCCCAGGAAGGGACTATACCTCTTTGCAGTGTTTTATACTTTTGGTAACATCGCATCAATTGGGAGGTAACAGGTGTTTCTTTTTTTTTTTTTTAATTTAACCATAGCCAATCACTGGATGGGAAACTGGGTGTGGATTGTGCTTGAGGGAGGTGAAGGAGGATGCTTTAATAGTTTTAAGGATTTGGTTTCTCACCAAATGTAGTTAAAATACATCATATCTAACTTTATCACATAAAGTTAATTAATGGTAAATGCTAAGAACCCTATGCTAAATTTCCTTTTAAAAAATTACTGAAAAGGGGTGCCTGGATGGCTCAGTTGTTAAGCGTCTGCCTTTGGCTCAGGTCATGATCCCAGGGACCTGGGATTGAGTCCCGCATCAGGCTCCCTGCTCGGCAGGAAGCCTGCTTCTCCTTCTCCCACTCCCCCTGCTTGTGTTCCCTCTCTTCTTGTGTCTCTCTCTGTCAAATAAATAATAAAATCTTTAAAAAAAAATGTTTTAGGGTGCCTGGGTGGCTCAGTTGGTTGAGCGACTGCCTTCGGCTCAGGTCATGATCCTGGAGTCCCGGGATCGAGTCCCACGTCGGGCTCCCTGCTCAGCAGGGGGTCTGCTTCTCCCTCTGACCCTCTCCCCTCTCATGCTCTCTGTCTCTCATTCTCTCTCTCTCAAAAAAAAAAAAAATCTTTAATAAAAAAAAAATGTTTTAGTATCTTTTTTTTTTTTTTTAAAGATTTTATTGGGTGCCTGGGTGGCTTAGTCAGTTAAGTGTCTGACTTTGGCTCAGGTCATGATCTTGGGGTCCTGGGATCGAGCCCCATGTCAGGCTCCCCATTCAGCAGGGGAGTCTGCTTCTCTCTCTCCCTCTGCCCCTCCCCCTGCTTGTGTTTTCTCTCTCTCTAAGTAAATAATAAATAATTTATTTGAGAGAGAGATTGGGTGAATGAGGGGTGGGTGGGGAGGAGCAGAAGAGGGACAAGCAGACTCCGGGGTGAGTGCAAAGCCTGACATAGGGCTTGATCCCACAACTTTGAGATCATGACCAAAATCAAGAGTTGGACATTTAACTGACTGAGTCACCTGCGCATCCCAGTATTTTGTATCTTAGTTTATTTTTTTAATTTTTATTTTTTTAAAGATTTTATTTATTTTTTTGAGAGAGCGAGAGACAGAGACAGAGCATGGGGGGGAGGGGCTGAGGGAGAGGGAGAAGCAGACTCCCTGCTGAGCAGGGAGCTCGGCCTGTGGGCTCCATCTCAGGACCCTGAGATCATGACCTGAGCCGAAGGCAGATGCTTAACCAACTGAGCCACCCAGGCGCCCTTATCTTAGTTTATTTTTGAAATCTCCTGGGATAAAGTTACTGTTGAGGTTTTATATATGAGGGAACCGTGGCGGCCCGTTTTGCATGCTGCAGGTACACAGATAGCCCAGGTCAAGTGCAGTTCATGCTTCAACCACACTGTGTGCAGACAGCAACAGTCCTCCCAGCTGGGAGTGCTGGCCTGACTTCAGCCTACATGGCCGCCTGGAACCTGAACTCTGTGACCTTTCCTCTCCTGCCACCTTCCCTTGTATCTCAGTCAATGGCCTCAGAGTCCTGGGTGTCCAAGCCCCGGCCCCTGTTATTACTCACCATGGCTTGGTGCCGACCCCTTCCTGGCTCCTTCCTCTTTGTCTCCGTGGCTCTTGTCCCTGACCATGGGACTCACGTGCTCAGTGACTAAGCCTTGATTACACCCTGGGCTGGGCTCTGAGCGCGCACAGACATTGCTGCCGAGGTGGAGCCCACTGGTCGGCCAGACAGACACGTGAACTGATAATATAGGGCATGGAGAAAGAAGTGCTCAGGGAGGGGCAGCTGCTGAGATCTGACCCGGGGAGCCAGGGAGGGCTTTCTAGAGATGGTGATACCTGAGCTGCTCTTAGCTCTGGCTCGTATCACTTCCCATCTGAACTACCACAGGATTCCTCTGCTGGCTTCTCTGTGTCCTTTTGTGTCCCTCCAGGCCATTTTCAGCATTCGGTTACAGCCCTGGCTCACTCTCTTTAGCGGTACCTCATTTCCGCCACAGGTGTGTGCATGCAGGAGAGGCCCTTCGAGATGTGGCTTTACCCAGTTCCACTCCCCAGCCAGGCCGACCTGCATTTCCCCAAATGTTTTTGTGCCTATTCTGGGGCTAATTTCTCTGCCTAGAATGCTGCCCCACCTGTATCTCCCTCTTTGTGCCCTACCCCCCTCATTTTGGTGAATTCTTGCTCATTTGTGATGACTTGGCTCAGAAATCACCACTCCTATGAATCTTCTCCTTGTTACCTCTCCCCACCCCCACCCAGAACAATGACCTCTTCTTTCATATGGGACTCTGTATGTCCCAAATACATTTTTGTGACAGCACAGATAGCATTTTATTACATTGACTTGTTACAAGTCTCTGAGCCACTTGACAAGGGCTATACGTCTGCCTTACCTGTCCCTAATTGTCCCCAAACCTAGCTCTGTTTTTGGCTGGAAATGTTAACCAAATGATTGAGTACACGACTCTGGCTACCTTCTAAAAACTTAATTTATGAATGCTTATGATAGTAAATGCTGGCTCTCAGAGATGTCTCATCTCGCCTCTAAAGCCCTCTCAAATACTAACTTTTGGAGGGTTTTGCTTTGGGCAGACAGTGTAGGTTTACTGTTGAGTCTATAAATAGAGCATAAGTACTGGCGTGTGTTGGTTAGTCTAGAAGAACTATTTAGCAAACCCTAATAGGGTCGACTCTTGATAGCACTGCCTACAGAAGTACTAAAGGGAGCAAATGATTATTTCCAGGGTGTGTCTAGGAGTTTATGGCTTTACCTATAATCTGTTACTTTTTTTTTTAAAGATTTTATTTACTTATTTGACAGAGAGAGGGAGAGAGGGTGGGAGGGAGGGAGAGAGCACAAGCAGGGGGAGTGGCAGGCAGAGGGAGAGGGAGAAGCAGGGAGCCCGATGACGTGGGGCTGCATCCCAGGACCCTGAGATCATGACCTGAGCCTAAGGCAGATGCTTAACCCACTGAGCCACCCAGGCGCCCCTATAATCTGTTAGGTTTTTGTATATATGCTGCATTTAATTTTTAAGGCCAGTCTTGGCTCTTGCTTCTTGTTCAGTGTTGGCTAAGAGTGCAGCTGTGAGTTCTGGTTGAAACTTAATGGTACTTCAAAGAGAGGTAGACTAATTTTTTAAATTTCTGTTTTTACCAAATACCCGGTAGCTAATGCTAAAACTCTGGCTGTTACAGGGCTTTAGGGGTGAGCCACCTGGGGCATTTCTGTCAGGAATCTAGAGACATGACAGACCTAACCCTCGAGTTCGGCGTGAGGATCTGCTTGGGTTACTGTCCCACACAGCCCCCTCTCAAGTTCCGTTCACACTGAAAGTGCATGAGGGATGCCTTTCGGAGCTTTCGATCCAGTAGATGGGGGTTTGAATGCTGGCTCTTCAAGTTCCTAGCTGTGTGATTGTGGATAAGTAAATGAACCTTTCTGAGCTTCATTTTCTCATCTCTGAAATAAGTAAGTGTAATAACATCTAACTTACAGAGTTGCTGAGGGATGGAATGAGGTCGAGTATGTCCTATCTGGCATTTAGCAAACACTGAACAAATCATAGATGATATGATCGGTAGAATTATTCTCTGGAGACTATGAAAGAGAGTGAAGCGCTCTACTTTTTAATATCAGCAACCTAAACCTGTCATATGGATGAATGGCTTGTGTGTGTTTGCCTCTCAGCACTGTCTTCCTCATGGGGCCGATGAAGCAGCTGAAGCGAATGTTTGAGCCGACGCGTTTGATTGCAACTATCATGGTGCTGGTAAGGCCTCCCTTTTAGCCGCACTTGTGAAATGGGACTTTTTATTTCTGCGGCATGGAGTTTTTTTCGTCTTTAACCTAAAAACCTCTTTTCTTTTTCCTTTCGTCTCGACTTACTCCGATGCCTGTAACCACAGAGGAGACATAGGGAGAATTCTGTGTCTGATCATTACGCCCTTGGTGTTTCAGTTGGTGTTCGGGTTCTGCCAGCTCCTGCCCCCCCGCAGCGGGCTGCTCAGAGTAGCCACACTGATGTGGATGAGGTCCTCCGGGACACTGGGGAAGCCACACACAGGCAGAGCTTAGAGGGAGTGACTCAGAAACACAGGCTTCGCCCCCTGGAGTGGGTGTCTGGTCTCCTGGAGCGGGCTTGCTCTTCCCTCCGCATTATCTGACTGATGTTTGTTTTCATCCATATTTCTGATGCGGGTCTGCGCTCCTCGTGGCCCCTTCTCTCTGTTCCCTGCTTGGACAGCACAGTGCCTTCAGCTTGTCCCACCCTCCTGTCCTGTTGGTTCAAATGCCCCTTCCTCCTCTGGACTGCTGCCTTCCAGACCACATTCGCTGGCCTTCGGTTAAAATTACCTTTATTGTAACATTTGGGACTTGATCAGTGCGCTTTTAGTTTTAGTTTTAATTCTGTCCATGTTGTTTGTTCAGACTTCTGTTGTGAGTTCTCTAAAGCCGTGTCCACGTTTGCTGTTGATTGCATATGCACTGGCCCAGTGCTGGCCACAGAAGAAATACTTGGGGCGTGTTTATTGAGTAGTTACCCTATAGATGGACAGAGAGGACGGGCATGACCTGCAGCTCGAGTGCCATTGTTCTTGGCCAGCCCTGGGATGTAGATGGTCCGGACAGGTCTCTCGTAGAAACAACTTTCTAAGAAAGGACTCAGGGAACGTGTTAGGTGACACGTAAACAAATAACCGACTGCCTGATGTCTCGTGTTACTCTTCGTCCTTGCTTGCCTTCTCTGCTCCAGACACAAGTGTTTTTGGCAGGGGTTCAAATACAGAGCTGTGTGTTCGACCAATGTTAGTGTGTTTGAATGGAAAGATGGATGGATGAGGGGTGGACCAGGTTTTATTTTCTGGGCAGAGAATTTGGGAAAATTTGAAAGTTGAAGAGGATCCATTTCTTTTTAACCTACATCCGATCTTATTGGCTGGTTTCATTTCATCGGGATTTTAACTCTTCTGCTAAACATGGGTGCTCACGTGGGTCCAGCACTTTGAGAGGGAGGACAGCTTTGGTCGCTGTGATCATCACAGAATCTGGTTACTGTGTGGGGATAAGTCTTGTAAGTTTGCCAAGAATGGCGAAGTCTTAACAGTATTTTTCTCCATGTTGTCACTGTATTAATTAATGTTTTTCCTCTCTCTCTAGCTGTGTTTTGCACTTACTCTGTGTTCTGCCTTTTGGGTAAGCATGGATTTTCATTTTCTTGAACCTTTTTGGCTTGTGCCTCTTGTCGCACACACTGTGCGGTAACCGTCCATTTTTCTTTCAGTGGCATAACAAGGGGCTCGCGCTCATCTTCTGCATTTTGCAGTCCTTGGCCCTGACGTGGTAAGTGATGTTTTAGTCTCCTCCCACGTCGCTGTCTGACTAATGCAGCGGAAGGAGATAAAATCCCACAGGGTGCGGGGGGAGGATAGAAAAACATAGAAACTTTTCAAGTTAAGAATTCTCAATTATGCAAGTGAAATCAGACTCCAGAGCGAAAAGTCTGTGGACTCAGCCCCGTGTCCAGTAGATGGCATCAGTGGTCTTGGGTGGTTGGCGGAGGCTGTTTGCCTGCTGCAGTGTTTTTTGTTTTTTGTTTTTTTTTTGCGGGGCTCTTGGTTGATTTTGAGATGTCATAAATGTTATTCAATCACTTCTGTCTAGTAGGAGCAAGGACAGTGAAGTATTATGGGGGCTGGTAGAAAGAGGCTTGTGAGTCAGATAGATGTTGAAGGAGGGCGAGTGGTGAGAAGTGATGAGCTGCATTTGTGATGGGATGGATGATTTAGCCGAAGCACAAAGAGGGAATTGTCAGCAGGAGATGAGGGACAGTGAGTGATGAAACGGAAAACCACGTGGCCGTGGGCAGTGCGATCGACAGGTGCCCTGCAGGCTGTTGGCAAGACCAGGGGGTTGTAGCTCAAGAGCCACGCATAGGGAAAGGGGCGCTGGGGACGTTACTGGGGGCCGCGGATGGGGCTGTACGTTCCGGTCCAACATCAGAGTGAGAGCGGTTCTGGCAGGCATGAAATTGATGGCTTCTGAGATGTTGCTATAGTCCTTCCAGAGTTTATGAAGGGATGAGGCCTGCCTGAACAGTTTCCATAGAGATGTGCTCATCTGCTTCTGAAAAAAAAAAATGTTTTCTCTAGTGCAAAGGAGACAGGACTGAAAGTTTTAAAGCCTCCAAGGATCAACTGTACTCCCATGTGGTAGAAATGGGGCTTGAGGCTGCAAGCTGAGCACCCATTCCTCCCTTTAGTCATTTGGGACTTTTGAATAAATACACTTCTCAAATGCTTTTTGGAATTTACTGTGTTCACAAGTAAGTGAGTTTTGTACTTGGGGAACGTAAGAAGAATGATGGCCTGATTTTAATGACACACATGTTTTGGGAATAGGTACCAAAAGACCTGGTTTGATGGCTTATATTTCTATTTTGCTTTTTTCCCCCAGGGGATGAAATTGGTACTCAAATGTACATCCCTTTTTTTTTTTTTTTTTGCTTATAGACTGAATTTGAAGCCAGTTTTCAGAGGTTTAGCGTTCATATGGGCTCAAGCAAATGGCAGTATTCACTCCAACACTGACTATGTTGTGTTTTTCTCAGGGCTGGTCCTTTAGTGTTGTGGCCTCCTCCCTGCATGGGCCTCCCTTGGGTGAGGGGCCTGAGCCAACTGGGATCACCAAGTTATCTTTGGGCTTGGGTTCTTGAAGAATCATAGCTTGCTTATATTTTTATCCATAGTATAGTTGGTAGTGGGTTTTTTTTTTCTTTCTGTTCTCTTTTCTCTTCTTTTAAAATTAATAGGAGCAGAGCAGAAAATTATCCCATTCAGATAGAAGTTCATTCTGTTGAGGATTTGTAAAATATTAGAGGATAGCTGATCTGGGTTTTATTTGGTGTTGTTTTTAGAATAGAGCTCTGTGCCATCCGGATATGTGGGATCTGCTGACCCTGTGAGGCTGAGGTGATGGTTACCTCCACATGGGCCTTTTGCCCTTCTTCTCTGGCCACTGATGACACCTCCCCCCCCCCCCCCCCCACCAACCTGTACGTGTGGCGTGGCGTGTGTGTTCACGTGTGTATGTGAGTGTGCATGGGTATGCGTGTACCCCCCACGCTGAGGAAGGAGAGGGTCTGGGCCCATCATGGCAGGTGCCTCATGGCTCGGGGCCCATTCCTTCCAGTGATTCCCTCCATCTGATTTCGTCTCTTGTTTGTTTTCATTGCAGGTATAGCCTTTCCTTCATACCCTATGCAAGGTAAGACTGTGTTTACTACTGTGACTTCTGTCACTTGGGGATGGTGGTGTGTTTGCAAAGGGCCTTTGTTTTGAGTGCTTTCAGAGAACACATATTCTGTCTTCACTAAAGTTCTTTTAGACAAAGAGGTTAAGTGTCCTATACCTATTTTATAGATTAGTAAGCTGAGGGTCCTCTCCACCCCCTCCCCTCCCTGCAGTACAGGGTGATAGGCATTGGCCCAGGACCACCAGTTCCAGTGGCATGAACGTTCTCCTGTGATATATAGTGCGCATGTGCACCCAATCACTCTTTGAACTTGTAGCTTTGCGGAGATCTTCTTAAAGGTGAATATCACTCTAGTATCCCTGAGGAGGAGGTGGAGGGATCCAAGCTCATGCTTGTTTTCTTGCAGTGTCCCATCGATGAGAATGTTCCAGAAGAGTTTATGAAGGGAAAGTCAACAGGGCCAGGACTCGGAGGACCAGGGTTTCCTAATTAGCAGTGTGACCTTGGGCAGCTCACTGGACCCCTGTGGCCTGAGTCTCAGGGATAAGCAGAGTGGGCTGGGCCAGGTCATCCCCACAGGCCCCTTCCAGCCGCCACACCTCCTTTATTTATTTATTTATTTTGAAGATTTTATTTATTTATTTGACAGAGAGAGACACAGTGAGAGAGGGAACACAAGCAGGGGGAGTGGGAGAGGGAGAAGCAGGCTTCCCGCTGAGCAGGGAGCCCGATGCGGGGCTCGATCCCAGGATGCTGGGATCATGACCTGAGCCGAAGGCAGACACTTAACAACTGAGCCACCCAGGTGCCCCTGCCACACCTCTTTTAATTGGCCCTTTCAGGGATGGGCCTCTCAAAACTGGCCATGTGATCTTTGCTGACTCTGCTCTCAGGCAGTGGTTTAATTTCCATACATCCCTGTCATTACCTGTAGCTAAAAAGCAGCTTTTCTTTAGCTGTGTTGAGAAGATGAAAAATTGCATGGGAGCTGGGGAGGAAGAAGAGCAGGCTTGCATCTTATGTGCTCAACTCCAGTGCTGACAGTGATTTGAAGATGCTGGGGAGTGTCAGATGAGAAGTTCGCAAGCTCATCACAAGCTGCGTGGCTTGGGAATAAGTTCTAGGGGGATAACAGGAAGTACTCTGCTGACCAGCCAGTTTGGGGGGGATGGTGGCTTGTCTGAGAAGAGTATGGGTAGAGCTGTCTTGGGCAACTAGGTTTTTGTGTGAAATAAGCCAGAACCTATCATCCCTGAGCATCCAGTGACCTATTTATCAGTTTGCCAACAATTTGAATGTATCCTCATGCCGGTACAGTTCCATAATTTTCAGGGTCCAGTGCAAAACGTAAACGTGGGCTCCTTGTTAAAAAATGATAGAGGATTTCAAGATGGCAGCCTCAGAGCATTAAACCAGAGGCGGAACCCTTGAAGTATGGGGCCCCGTGAAACTGCACATGTCTCTGACCCATGAAGCTGGGCCTGCTTGGTGCCATTCTTCAGGGCTGCAGACTTGACCTGGATTGGCATTTATAGAGCTTAGGCCTTTCCCACAGCGTTCCACAGGAATAGTGGTTACATGGTAGAAAAGGGTTCCATGGTCAAATAAGTTTGGGAAGGGGTTAAGCAAAATTAGATGGGTTCCTTGTTATGCAGCTTTCCAGGTCCTTTGGTAATGTGTGTTGTTAGCTGCCATGAGGAATCTTTTTTTTTTTTTTTTTAAAGATTTTATTTATTTATTTGACAGAGAGAGACATAGCGAGAAAGGGAACACAAGCAGGGGGAGTGGGAGAGGGAGAAGCAGGCTCCCCGCTGAGCAGGGAGCCCGATTCGGGGCTTGATCCCAGGACCCTGGGTTCATGACCTGAGCCGAAGGCAGATGCTTAACCAACTGAGCCACCCAGGCGTCCCCACCATGAGGAATCTTATTTGGTTGTAAAACTCTTTCTTGTGCAAAGCATCTCCTGAGACTACAGTGTAGAGCTTATCTTAAGAAATGCTGCTCTAGAATTATCTTACTGTTAAAGCACCATGGCCGCCCATGCAAATGCATTCATTTACCTCTCCCTCCCTCCGTGACTACCAGGATCCTTGGCGCAAGTGCAGCTGGGAGCAGAGGCACAGAGTCGGGGTGGGGAGCCCTCGTACTAGCCACACGGGGTGCCTCAGATGGCCGTGCTTGCTTGAATAGGACAGTAATTGATCGAGCACCCACTCTTTCCTTGCATGCTGTGCAGTGACTTCTGGGACAGACCTAACAGCAGGTTAATAAGTACTCCGTCACTACAGAGAGTCCCCTGTGCTTGGGAACTCCTGCAAGCTGTCCCTTAGCAAGTTCCTGCTGTTTGGAAGAAAGGCCCGAGTGACTACCCGATCTGATGTTTTCAGTGCATCTGGTGATTCCGGTTGACATTAAAGTGCACAGTCCTGTTTTCTTGGTTTCTGATAACCTCTACTTTCTTCTGGTCTTTTCCTTTGGTTATCATGAATAGCTGTCTGTTATTTGATACCTACTCTATTCACTGTATTAATTCCTGCAGTTTGTCTTTAGGGTAAGTGGGACATCCCCTTTTACAGATGTGGAGTTTAAAACTCAGTAAGACAAATCACTTGCCCATAGTAATACCGCTAATGTTGAAGCTGATGTTTGATGCCAGGGAGCTCGGCCCCACAATCTAGGTGCTCTCTGCCCCGCAGGATGCTACTCTGGGTGCCCAGGAAATCTACAGGAGGGTCTTTACCACTTACAGGGGCCTTTGGGGTGATGATCTCCCACTGATGTTTGTGTGTTTTCCTCCTAGGGATGCTGTGAAGAAGTGTTTTGCTGTCTGTCTTGCATAGCACATGGTCAGTTGTGCAAGGCTTTGGAAGGCGCCGTGGACGGAAGCTGGTGGACAGTTTTGTAAATACCTTCTAAACCTCTGTCTTACAGACACGTGCCTTTTCTCTTGCAGCAGTGTGTTGCTTGTGATCTGAACATTTGAGGGTAGCTTTTGGAGGCATTGTTGTGGTCCCAAACCCAAATGTCTGTAGCATGGTATGAGAGGTGGGTTCTGTTATCTCATGGGGTAGATTATTCCTCATGCACCTGTTCCCTCTTTAGATGAAGTCTTCCACTGAAATTTCCTAAATAAAAACCTTGTTAAGCAGCGGCAGGTCAGCTTGGGAGCCAGGGCTCTTCTGGGGGTGACAGGCAGCCCCATCAGAGCTGGCAGGGATACAGTCGTAAGGGACAGGGTTTTGGTGTCTGCAGGGACTTTGTGGACTTGCCCTCAGCATGGAGAACCGCCCCCCCGCCCCCCCCCCGCCTCACCCAGCGTGGACGTGCTTCTGCTCTGGGGTCTGCCCCCCCGACAGCTGCACACAAGCCCGTGGAGAGCCTGCTCGTAGAGTGACCTGGGAAAGGAGCACTTTTTGGGGATATGTGTTGTTTTTAAATCTGCACGTTGGCTTTGTTCTTCTGATTCCGCACCTGACGATGGAATGTATCTTCTGACATTCTGTGCACTCTTTTTCTCTCGGGGTTTTCTTTCTTTCTCCCCCTCCACGTAGCTTTTCTCATGGCCTCCTGGAACTGGACTGGGGACGAAGCATGGACAGAACAGACACTGTTTGCTTTTGCACAAGAGCTGACGGGAGGGAAAAGTCTTGCTGCTTTCCACTCTTTTTTGTCTTCCCCATTATTTATTAATGTTGCTTTTAAACTGATTCTGTTTTCCGTTCTCCCCTGGAACGGGGCCAGGGTAGAGCGGTGAGAAGGCAGAGCCCCATTGTGGGGCCCATGGGAAGGAGGCACGCCTGGCTGGTGACCTTTCAGCGGTGCCAGGGTTTCCACCGGAGCCCGCGCCACAGCACTGGGGGTGGGACACCGTGGGTGGCAGGGGGCGCGCATCGCAGCCCCTGCTTCACCACGCACGGTGCTTTGTGCCCGGGATTCTGTCTGGTCCCACAAGAGCCTGGTGACAAAGTGGCGATGGTTATCTCACTGGGCAGTCGAGATCAGACTCAGAGAGGTCAGCAGATTGCCTCAAAGCCACGGTTGGTGGCAGAACTGGGCCCGGAGTCTGGGTGCCCCAGCTTCAGTCCCCTCTGTGCCCCCGTGTTTCCCAGGCTGGCTCTGGAGGCGCCTCCTCTGACTGTTCTGCCTGTTCTCATCAGCCAAGCCTGTGCCTTTTCTGCTCCCAGTCCCTTTACGTCACTGCACTGTCTCCTGCCCAGTTTCCCTTTTGGGATGCTTCCTCCTGGTTCTGTGGGCTCTCCGTTGTTCAGTTGTGTGCCCTTGTAGCTCCTTGCTGCCTGACCAGCATAAATGCCCTATCTTGATTGCCAGAGTTCTTGGCATTGCGGGGCCTCTGAAGCAAGCCCACAAGTGAAATCTCTTTGGGGTTGCCTTTCTGTTCTTACCCAGGTCTAGCTGGCCCGCTCGGGTTCTTGCTCTGGAACCTCCACACCAAAGGCTGTGGTCCACGTGTCGTCTCCTTGCTTGTGGCCAGTTGCTAAGTTCTTTCTCCTGTTGCAGCTGAGACCTCAGACCGGCTAGCCTTTTCCTCTGAGCTGGGGAGCTGTGAGCAGGTCTGAGAGGGCCAGAGTGAGGAGGCAGTCTCACCGGGTCCTCTCTAGGCTATGGAGGGCACCCTGGCTTATCCTGAGGTTCCTAACCTGCCTTCAGCCAGGAAGGGAAATTATGTGCTGCCCTCTGGCTTTTGTGGAGTTCTTTTACATCTGAGGCGTCCCTCGGAAATAGCTCAGATCTTGGAGGCGCTCTAGAAAGGGGCCCAAAGGAGACCCGGCATGTCCATCGTGCCCTCTCGTAAGAGCAGGTGTGGGGCTAGCCTGTCTCTACGAGCTCCAACCAGCCTGGAGTAACTAGAAGGCTGAACCCTCTGGCCCTTTGCAATGTCTGGACTTGACATTGTGGGACATGAGGTCGAGGTGCCTTTTGCGATGTCACCGGGGCTATGTAGCATAGTGGTAGTGGATGTGGGCTTTGACGGCACACAGGTTGGGTGTGAGTTGTGGTTCAGTCACATACCGGTGTCAGGTTGAGCAAGTTACTTAAGCTCTGGCTCCCTTTAAAGACAACAGAGGTAACAGCCCCTGCTGGATCACTCTCCATCAATGAGCTGTGCGTCAGGTGCTTCGCTTGGAGCCCAGGGGACGGAGACGGTATCTCAGGAAAAGGAAGGTGTTATTACTACGTCCCAGAAGTAACCAATGACCTTTGAAGGTGGCAGGTGAATGTCTCTGACCATTAACTTATCTACAAAATATGTATCGAGCATTATGCGTCCAGCACAGTACTGTTGCCACACCTGGTCTCATTTAATAGTCACAGTGGCTTTGCAGGCTGGTGGTCCTGTTTGCCTTGCTGAAGAAACGAGCCGCCTCGGGGAGGGTAGGCGTCCCTCCAGATCTCACCAGTAGAGGGCGGTGGTTCTTGTGTTAAAGTGCCTGCTTTGCCCTAACGCGGGGCCTGTGGCCAGTTTGCACAGACTGCTCCAGCCAGGACACTGTGGGCAGCTTTTGGATGATCCTGCCATTCGGGATCTTCCAGACTCCTGCATTTCCCTTCTGCCACCTCACCCTTTGGTTTTCCCTGCTTGTTTTGCCTCCTGCACGGTGGGAGAAAGAAGAAATCCATGTTAAAGCCACTGAAAGCTGTTACCAGGCAACAGTGCTAGTTTGCAAGCACCGTGGTGGGCGAGAGAGTGGGGAATTAGGGTTCAGACCCTGCGGCTGGCAGGCTGGCAGTCCCGTCTTGTTCCTGCAACAACCCCCCCCCGCCCCCCCACTGCTGGGGGAAGGAGAGGGAGAGGTCGTTGCATTCTTGCAGTGAAAGGAATCATTCAGGCGACTCTCGCAGCGCTGCGTACTCCCTGGAGGTGAGGTGGTGCCTCCAGCTGCATGTGAGGCTCCCTCTGTGGGTGCTGTGTTGGGCGCTGTGCCGCTCCCCAGGCCCAGACAGCTGTCTCCCGGGCCCCGGAGCCTGCCGTGTGACTCCCTGCCGCCCGTGTCCCTACCTGGGAGGTTCCCCTTCTGCCGACCGTGCTCATGGGCAACTCTGGCTGCCAGAGTTGTGCGTGGCCATGCCTCTGGCCGCTGCTGCCCAGGCCCAGCTGGAGGTTCCGTGGGAAAGTGGGACACCATCCCCCGTGGGGCATTTCCACTGGGTTGACGATCTCAGTGCTCCTTCATTCTGTGTGGGGACTTCCGGGGGGGGGGTATCCCCCGACTGCCCCCTCCCTCCTACCCTAATCAGGGTACGCTCAGGGAGCAGGAAGTAAAATCATGAAGTGCATCTAAATAAATTCCTTTTGGACACTTGCATTGGAGAAGATGATTAAGTGGGGCATATCTTGAAAAAAGGGGTGGGAGGTACTGGTTTAGCTGCTGCTGCTTTTGACAGCTCCAGGAGAGTGACAAGTGTGGCGGTGTGACGGTCGGGGCAGTGAATTAGGCAACTGAGCTCAGCCCATGGCTGTGCGTTCCCTTTTCTGTGGGGCAGCCCGCACCAGGCCCGCCTTACCTTCTCTTCCTTCAGACGTCTGACTGGAGTCAGCTGCAGGATTACAAACTAGTTAAAAATTCACAACCCACCCTTGACCCTCATTTTTAGCAAATAAATGAAAAAAAAAAACCCCATGTTTGCTCAATTTTTGGCATAGTTTTTTATTTTAAAATTTAAAATTTTTTAGGATGTTTTAAGGGATAGTTTTTTGCAGATAGCAGTTTTTAAAAAGCTAACAGACCCACAACTGAAGTTAAATACAGATTCATATCTGAAACTCTTGATAAGATATAAAAAAAGAATTTAGATTTAGAATTTTATTTTGTTTTTTTTGGAAATTCTTATTTAAAAAGTTAGTTGGGAGGTTAAATCATGTGACTTTAAAGTACCTTCTCATTCATAGTTTATGAATTTTATGAAATTCTGAGATCTTGAGCATTTTCAGTCAAGTAAAGAGAAAACTGTTGTGCACTTTATTTGATCCCAGTTCCCTCAAAGATAGGCTGCTTAGTTCCACTTTGGGCTATTTCCAGGTCTACCCCAAAGGCGTAGGTGACACTCCCAGGTCCCTGGTACACTTAAGCTTTGTTGTGGGGTGCTCAGGTTTCTGTTGAGCAGAAAGGCCTCGCGAAGCTTGGGCCGAGATCTCGCACTAGAGTTGGTGAGCATAGCCCCGTGAGGCAACCCTTGGCTAATGTACATTGACCACATAAAATTCCATTCTCTCGAGCAGGAGCCCATAGGCTAATAATGGGCTTAGAAATGCACAAAATTTTTCTCTGGGTGGAATGAGCTGAGAGCAGAGAAGATTGAGTTCACTAGGCAGGTGCTATATCGTCCTCTCGTGGACCAGACTTGGCTATTTGAAATGAAAAATCCATCCACAGCATTGTAGTAAACAGCTAATGCTGAGGTACGTGTTTACAACGTGTGTTGTAAACATGTGTTTACTACATGTGATAAATAGTACGAAAAAACCCCATACATCACAGACAAACATTCCCTGATATAAGTGGGCTGCCTGGGCCTTGTGAAGTATCCTTTACGACCAAATGAAGACTGGTATCTAGGCAGAATATTGTTCTCTGTTGAACTTCCATACTGCCGGTAATGAGCCTTATTCTAAGTACAAGCAAACCTTGTATTTGTAAAATATCCTAAAGGAGAAGCATGGTTTACATTCAATTTTGCAGTCTTTCTGCTACGAGAAGTGTTTATTTTGCTTTTTTCAATCTGTTTACTTGATGTAGCCGTTTTGAACAAGGAAAGGAAAAATTTAAAATCCTCTCAACTCTGTTCTTTTGCTGCTTTTGTAAATTCTGATTGTGAAGTTGGGGATAAAGATGTTCAAAAGCCCATGGAGAATTTACATGCCTTCAGAACATTGTGCCTGTTCTAATATGATGAGCTTTTAAAAAATACTTTGTTAAAACATGAATCAGTTTTTGTAGTTGTACAGAGATATTCAACTAATTTTGAGTGCTGGTGATTGCATAACTGAATTTTGTATATCCAAAAATATATTCTTGTGTGCTACTTTTCCTACCTTGAGATTCTATTTAATACAACAAATGTTTTCTTTTTACTGATGCATTTCAAAGAGAAAGAATTTTGCTGGTAATTAAGCTGTTTTTTTCCCCCAAGACATCATAAAACTGTTCTTAATTTTTCTTGTTTTGCTTTTTGTTTCCTTCTCAATAAATGATAGCATTATGATCTTTAATAAATCTGGTATTGTCTCTTATTCATATTTGTTTTCCCAGGAGTCACTAAACCAAATGAAGGTTGTATGACTACAAGAAAAGACCATGTCCTTATTTTGCAATTGTAGTATGTAGCATGCGTTGTAAACGCTTAAAGTTGTTTTTGAGCTAAATTGGTATGTAGTCCTCTCTTTCCAATGACATGGGATAACAGGGTCTAAGTTTTGAAGATTTTTGAAGGTAAGAAATGTCAAATGTTTTATTTTGGAATATTCCTACACACCTACTTGGTTTAATCACTGTGTAAACTGGGTTGTCAAATTAGTATAAAGTTGTTCATAAGATTTCCATATTCTTTTAATGTTCCAAGATTTAGAGTCAGGCCAGTCTTTCTCTGCTGATACTGGTAATTTGTATCTCCTTGCTTTATCTTGGTCAGTCTGGTTTGGGGTTTATGATTTTATTGATCATTTCAGAGACAAACTAGTTGAAAAGATTTGAACAGACATTTTACAAAAGAAGTATATGAATGGCTAGCATACACGTGTAATATATACTGTGTTATCCTGTAAGTTAAAAAAACCGGTAAAACCCAACTCTAGACCAAAGCTGCATTCTTAGGTGGTAAAATTATATTGAAAAGTAGGACGTTATTTGCATAAAGTTAGGATAGTGATGGCTTTTTGAGGTATGGAGAGGTTTAGTGATTGAGAAGGGACACTGTGGAGGGGGACTCTGGGTGATGGTTGTCCTATTTTTTTTTTTTTTTTTTTTTTGAGAGAGAGAGCTTGAGCAGATGGTGAGGGGCAGAGGGAGACAGAGTGAGACTCTCAAGCAGGCTCCACGCTCAGTGCAGAGCCTGACATGGGGCTCGATGCCACGACCCTGAGATCATGACCTGAGGCAAAATCAAGAGTCGGATGCTTCACTGACTGAACCACCCAGGCGCCCCTGTCCCATTTCTTGATCAAGTGGTACTTACAAGGTGTTCACTCTGATCAATCATTGCACTATGTTTTTTTGTGTATGTGTGCTTTTATGATGTGTTATATTTTATAATAAACCTGCTTTGGTTTCATTGCTTTTCACTATTGTCTTTTTTTTTTTTTTAATTTAATTGGTTTCTTTTCTTACCTTTATTCCTTCTTTCCTTATACTTACTTTGAGTTTAGCTTAACTCTTGTAGCTTTTTAAGGTAGGAGCTTAAAGAATTGATTTTAGATTTTTTTCTTTTCTTTTTAAGATTTTACTTATCTATTTGATAGAGGGAGAGCACAAGCAGGTGGAGTGGCAGGCCAGAGGGAGAGGGAGAAGAAGGCTCCCCACTGAGGAAGGAGCCTGACGTCGGGCTCGATCCCAGGACCCTGGGATCATGACCTGAGCTGAAGGCAGCCGCTTAACCAACTGAGCCACCCAGGTGCCCCTAGATCTTTTTTTCTAATATAATTTAATACTACAAATTTCCTTCTGAGCATGGCTTTAGTTGCATCTCACAAATTTTGATACGTTTTCATTTTAATGAAGTACAAAATATTTTCTTTTTTTCCTTTTTCCTGTTTACTACCATCTACCTCTGGACTACCTGCTCAGTCCCAGCTCACCACCCTGCCTTCCCTCTCCTCTTCCTCCCCCTGCCTCTGGCTTCACCACATCCTCACCTCCCCTGCCTTTCCCCACCCTCCACTTACACCTCCCACCCCATCTCCACCCCCTACCCCTCCCAATGGCCCGGTTCAAAATACTTGATTTCCTTGTGATTTCTTCCACCCATTGATTACTTAGATGTGTGTTTAATTTTCAAACATTTGGGGATTTTCCAGATACCTATTACTGGTTTATAATTTAATTCTTTTGTAGTCAGAGAACATATTCTTTTTTTTTTTTTTTTTTAAGAATTTATTAGGGAGGGAGGGCGAGAGCATGAGTTGGGGGGGGTGGGGCAGAGGGAGAGGGAGAAGTGAACTCCCCACTGAGCAGGGAGCCCTAACTCTGGGTTCCATCCCAGGACCCTGAGCCGAAGGCAAACATGTAAACCGACTGAGCCACCCAGACGCCCCCAGAGAACATACTCTAAATGATTTTAATCCTTTAACATTTATTGGGACTTGTTTTAGGCTCTGCATATAGTCTATCTTGGTAGATGTCCCATGTGTATTTGAAAAGAATGTGTATTCAGCAGTTGAGTGGAAAGTTCTAGAAATACCAAATTGGCGGTGTTGTTCAGGTTCTAACCATACTGAGTTTGTATACTTCTATCAATTATTGAGAGAGACATGTGAATTAGAATGTGGATTTAACTGACTTTTCCATTCAGTTAATTTTTAAAAATTTTGTTGATTTTATTATTTTTTTTATTTTTTATTTTTTTAAAGATTTTATTTATTTATTTGAGAGAGAGACTGAGATAGAGCATGAGAGGGGGGAGGGTCAGAGGGAGAAGCAGACTCCCCGCCGAGCAGGGAGCCCAATGCGGGACTCGATCCCAGGACTCCAGGATCATGACCTGAGCCGAAGGCAGTTGCTTAACCAACTGAGCCACCCAGGCGCCCAAAATTTTGTTGATTTTAAACAAAAAAATAAAATACAAAACACAAAAATGTACGGCTCAGTGAATTATTTCAAAGTGATGGTATCACCACCGCCCAGGTCAAGAGCTAGAACGTTGCCAGCATCTCAGGGTTCCTGAATGTTCCTGTATGGTTATTACCCCCTGGGTCCCTCCACGAAGTGACCACTATCCTGGCTTTATCGCGCCACTGCCTTGCTTTTCTTCAGAGTTGTTTTTTTTCTTTTCAGTTTTATCGAGCTTTAATTGACATACAGAACTGTGTAAGGTTAAGGTGTACAGCATCATGATTTGACTTACATATATAGCAAAATGATTACCACAATAAGTTTAGTTAACATCCATCATTCATGTAGATACCAAAAAAAAAAAAAAAAAGTAAAAATGTTTTTTTTCCCTTGTGCTAGGAACTTTCAGGATTTACTCTCTCAGCACCCAGCAGTGTTAACTGCAGTCGTCATGCTGTACATCACATCCTCCGGTCCTTAAAATTGAAAGGCGGTTGCTTCTGACAGCCTTCCTTCTCTCGCCTCCCACACCCGCCTCTGGCAGCTGCAAATCTGATCTCTGTGAATTTGTTTGTTTTTGGATTCCACATATATGTGTGACATACAGCATTTGTCTTTGACTTGTTTTGCTTAGCATGGTGTCCTCAAGGTCCATTCATGTTGCAAATGGCATGATTTTCTTTCTTATGGCTGAGTAGTATTCTCTTGTGTCTACATACCATGTTTTCTTTCTCTGTTCACCCATCGATAGACACTTAGGTTGTTTCCCTATGTTGGCTGTTGTAAGTAATGCTGTAATGGACATGGGGGTGCAGATACTTCTCTGACAGGGCTTTTGTTTCCTGGGGTTTTAATTCTCAGAAGTGGAATTCCTGGATCATGTGGTAATTCCGTGTTTAGTTTTTTGAGGAAACTCCATACTGTTTTCTGCAGTGGCTGCACGAGTTTGCATTCCCATCTACAGTGCACAAGGTTCCCCATTTTCCACATCCCCATTTTGATCATAGCCATTTTAATAGATGTGCAGTGATATCTCATTGTGGTTTTGATTTGCATTTCCCTAACGATTAGTGATGTTGAACATCTTTTCATGTACCTGTTGGCCATTTGAATATCTTTGGAAGCTGGCTTTTTATTGGATTTTTTAAATTTTTAATTGGATTTTTAATTAGGTTACTTTTTAATCGGATTTTTAATTGGTTTACTTGTGGTTTTGCTATTGAGTTCTTTATAGATTTTGGCTTTTAACCCTTTATCATATGATTCGCAAATATTTTCTCCCATTCCATAGGTTGTCTTTTCATTTTGTTGATTTTTTTGTCTGTGGTTTAGTTTGATGTAGTCCTCCCTGTTTATTTTTGATTTTGTTAGCTTTTGGTTTAGGTGTCATATCTGAAAAATCATTGCCAAGACCTATGTCAGGGAGATTTTTTCCTGTGTTCAGATCTTATATTTAATTCTTTAATCCATTTCAAATTAATTTTTGTGAGTAGTGTATGGTTAAGATAGGGGTCCAGTTTCATTCTTTTTCATGTAAATATCCAATTTTCTCAGCACCGTTTATTTATTTAAAGATTTACCATCTTAACCATTTTTTACTCTATAGTTCAGTGGTTTTAAATATGTTCATATCATTACCTAACCTAATATTGTGAAATTTTTCCCTGTGTTTTCTTCCAGGAATTTTATAGTTTCAGGTCTTTTTTTGTTTTGTTTTTAAGATTTTATTTCTTTATTTGAGAGAGAGAGTGAGTGAAAGAGTGCACAAGCTTGGGGGACAGGCAGAGGGAGAGGGAGAAGTAGACTCCCCACTGAGCAGGGAGCTTGATGTGGGGCTTGATCCCAGGACCCTGGGATCATGACCTGAGCCGAAGGCAGATGCTTAACTGACTGAGCCACCTAGGCACCCCAGTTTTAGGTCTTATAATTAGGTCTTTGATCCATTTTTAGTTATTATTATATTGTGTTAAATGAAGATTCAACTTCATTCTTTTGCATTTGGTTATCTGGCTTTCTTAGCACCATTTGTTGAAGAGACTGTTCTTGAGACTGTCCTTTCACTATTGAATGGTCTTGGCAGCCTTGTCAAAGATCATTTGACCACATATATGAGGTTTTATCTCTGGGATCTTTATGACATTCCATTGGTTTATGTATCTGTCTTTACTGTCTTTACTTGTCTTTACTCTCTTGATGACTATAGTTTGTAGTAAGTTTTTAAATCAGGAAACGAATCCTCCAGTTTTGTTCTTTTTCAAGATTGTTTTGGTTATTCAGTTCCTTGGAGATTCCATATGAATTTTAGGATTTTTTTTTTTTAATCTCTGCAAAAAATGTCACCGGGATTTTGATAGGGATTGAATTGAATCTGTAGATTGCTTTGAGAAGTATGGACATCTTATTGAGTCTTATAATCAGTGTACATGGGATATATTTACATTCATTTATAT